ACATTGCGTGGCTGAATGCACGGGCGGTCGCGCCGAGTGCGACACCGATTGATGCGAGCATGCCTGTGATTCTAGCCACGTGGCGGACCGGGACTGGTCGGCACGCATTGCTTGCGCTCAGGAGGTTCTGGATGGTTGAATGTAGCGAGGCTCGTCGGTCGGGACCGATGGAGAATCGGCCGGTGTCTGTCTCAAGTTCTACACCCAAGAATTGGAGGCGTTGTGATGGTGACAGCTGTGATTTCTTCACGTTTATCACAAGTCCTGCCTCTTTAAGGTCCAATATCACCTGCTTCAGATTGCTTGCGCATGGGCTTTCGACTGGCATAGAAATAAAATGTCATCCACATAAGGTATGACTCAGATGCCTTGTTCTCGCCAACGCCAAGCTAGCTGCTTGATCAACTGCGTGAAAACGAATGGAGCTGTCGCGAGGCCAAATGGCAGTGAACGGAATGCGTACGTGCGCTTGTCGAATTCGAAGCCAAGGAACTTCCAGCATGATGGGTGGATGTCCATGTGGTGGTATCCAGACTTAAGGTCAATGGAGAACATCCAGTCCCCAACGCGTGCCAGGTCGGCCACACGGCTGAGCCCCTCGTACTTGAACTTGGGGACAATCAAGTTGGCGTTGACTTTCCTCAGGTCAAGAATGAGTCTGCATTTGTCTTTTTGCTCGACCACGTTGAGTGGACTTATGCACGTAAGCTCTGTTGCGGGCATCGGGACTGCTGCTCAGGTCTCTATGAGTTATTGGATGGCGGTACATGTGAACGTGACATGCGTGTTCGCCCCGACATTGTTGCGATCGTGGAAGGGCTGTGGTGGGCCGTGGCTCCATGGCAGCTAGTAGCCCTTGGCGATGATGGAGAGGACAAGGCTGCAGGGGCACCAAGAACACCACCACGCAAAGGTCGCACGAAGCCGACCTCGCATCTGTGAAATAGTTTTGTCCGTAATGGCGAATTCATACGGATCGTCGTAGCATAGCACCTCGCACCGTCGTGCTCCTGTGTAGTGGAGGCAAAATGGGGTGATTGTTGGGTGGTTCATTTCAAAGCATCCGTGTGCATGTACGAGCAACCATGTGAAAAACATCGACAATCTATCGAAATGTCAACGAGTATGTCGGGTACGCGCCGGCGCTTCTTGTTTCTCTCCTAGGCTGGCCTTTTTTTTTCCTCGTCCAATCAATAGGACCTGCCCTTCGAGCATGGAGGTTGATGCCTAGGACCATGGACACACTTGTCCATCGTGCTTGATCTCGTTATCTCTCTCTCTCTCTTTCTCTCTCTCTCTCTCTCTCTCTCTCTCTCTCTCTCTCTCTCTCTCTCTCTCTCTCTCTCTCTAATGGTCCGTGCATTGATGTAAGAGGAGGTACAGACATGCAAGGTATAGGTGCTAGGAATGCAAACGTACAAGCAGAGAAACTGTCTAGCTGCCCACAGCTGCCTATCTACACTTCCATGAGAGGCTCTAGTACTGCACAGCAGTCCCCAAGGTGGAGCTCGGACTGCACCCCCCCCACGGGGGGATTTTCAGCTACTAGTGGGGAGACTCTCTCTCAATACCGCCTATTTCTCTCTCTCTCTCTCTCTCTCTCTCTCTCTCTCTCTCTCTCTCTCTCTCTCTCTCTCTCTCGAACGGACCTTTGTATTGATATAGATTAGAGTTACAGCAGAGGCAAGTAAGCAAGCAACAAACAGGTATGTCTAACTATTCTCCTCCCTACCCCTTCCCCCCCCCAAGTCTTCTACTCGCTACCATTGCCTGGTTCTAGGGTAGCAAAGCACTCCCCCGGGTCCAGGACCCCCTCCGGGCCTCCTAAGGCTGGGTTCTCCTTCTGGGCTGCCAGGTTCATCTTGATAAGGAAGCTCACTGCCTGTGCCCTTTGCAAGGCGACAGACCACCGCTGGCGGAACTGGTGCAGCAGCTTTGCGGCCTGGAAGCTTGAGGCATCTGCGTTGAAGTGTAAGCGTGCTGCTCTGTCCGCCAGGTGCTTCAGGAAAGCCTGCACCTCGTCGCACGGGCAGCCATAGGTCTCGACTGCCAGCGGGTAAAAGCCCGCAAATTCAGCTCTGCCGTGGTATAGCCCGATTTTCTTATCTGCCGCCTCCCTTGCTGCCCATCCCCGTCCCTTCCTGGCAGTCTCGTCCCGTTTGCTGATAGGGTCAGTGATGGTTATGTCACCCAGCCACACCGCCCCACTGCTTCTGTCCCGAATGGCCAGGTCGGCCTTCTTGTTGTCGACCGGGCTAAACGCCGTGCTCTCCTTGTGCACTATGAACCCCGCATCCTGAGCCATACGCACACACTCATCCCTCAGCTCGTTGTGTGTGTTAGTCCGTCCGTGCCCTGTGCCGCAGCGGAGGAGGTGGTTGGGGAGGCACTTATCTGCTATGGCGACTCTCTTTGTGCAGTCGCAGTTGTCAGGGACGGGGAGAGGCAGTCCTCGGCGGAACTGGAGGGCGAATGAGAAGAGGTCAGGATCGAGGCGGAGGGAGGGCATGTAGGGGATGGCTATCAGCCAGTCCCCCGCGCCGTAGCCAGTGAGGGACAATAGCCACTGGGTGTGGCCGCATAGGGGGTTCAGCTCCATATGCCGTGACGCTGCAACTTGAGCGGCACTTCGTCCACCCTGGACTAAGAGGGCAAGGCGGTGCTGCAGCTGTCCCTTGGGTGCTGCCATTTCTGCCGCCAGCAGGTCCCGTCCCTCCTGTGTGAGGCTTGCCTTGCACTCCCCAAGCCATGTTTGCAGTTGGTTCGGGTCCGGGTCCACCTCCTCTGTCCAGTTCAGGGCGGTGGAGAGGTGAGCTCCTGCGGGGCCGGGCAGGGAGGCTAGGAGTCCGTGCGCCTGGACAAAGCTTGCCAGGTAGCTGTAGCGCCCTTCCACCGATGGGTCCGCCAGCCCCAGGCCTCCCAGGCTTGGGGGGAGGGAAGCCTGGTCCCACACGTGTTGTTCCTCCGCATTCCCCCCTTGGGTGGCGCACGCCGCAGGCGTCGAGCAGTGTGTGGAGCAGCTTCTGGCCCCACCGTGACCATTCCTCTTCGAGCAGAAGGGTGAGTGGGGTTGTGCGCGCGAGGTATGACATTCGCCTCGAGATGCACCTCGTCAGCAGCAGTGATGCTGCCTGTGGTTCCAGGTCGGCTATCTGCGGGAGAGGGGTTGTGATGGCTTGCAACTGAGCCCGAATAAATGCTGCTGCTCCGTCTGGCGCGCCGATGAAACTGCCCAGAACACGCAGTCCGTCGTGGCAGAATGGGACACCTTCCGTCGTCGGACGGCGCTCCACGCCGCACATTTCCCGGCGTTGTGCCTGAGCCCCATGCTACGGAGGCTGCTCGTGAAGTGGATGAACGCCGCTGTACACTCCGCCACTCTGCCCGGGAACGTGACATCGTCAGCGAATGCGAGGCAGAGCACGGTCGGGAAGGCGGCTGCGGTCGCGGCGAGGGACGGGTGGATGCCCGCGGCGAAGAGCAAGGGCCCGAGGGGGTCGCCCTGGCGGACCCCTGTAATGCTGGATATGGGAGGGCTATTAAAGCCGGCGTCGAGAAATAGCTCTGACGGCGTGCCGTAAGAGGAGTGAACTAGGGGGAGGATCCCTTCTAGCGTATTTCCGCGTAGGCCCGCTACGATTGCCTCGCGACTGGTGCTATTAAATGCGTTTGAGAGATCCGCCTAGAGAATCGTGGCGTCACTGTGCGTGCTCATGTATGATCTGGCGGCGTGGACTATCGCCTCGCTACCTCCCTGGACGGCGACGCAGTACTGGAGTGGGAGGAAATGGGCTCGTGCCGCGTCTGCTAGTGAGGAAAGTGCCGATTTTTCCACGAGGCGTAGGACACACTCTCCTACGGCTATGGGCCGAGTCCCTCCCTCTGGCTTGGCGAGAGCGATTAGGCGGGAGGACGTGAGCAGGGAGCACACCTCTTCGGGGAGTTTGCCTTGGAGTATTGTGTTGAAGAGGGCGTGGAGGTGGGTGGTAACGGCTGCGTTGGCGATAGCTGCATCTCTGAGGTGTTCGAACGTCATCCCCGACGGCCCTCCCCCTACTCCGTTTTTGCAGCGGCATAGGATTTTCGCGAATGCAGCTGAGATGATGGTCACCACGTGGGCCTCGTCCGTTGGTGTCCAGTCAATGTGTCCGGGTGGCGTGGGTGGGTGCTTGGATTTAAGTGAATCCAGTACCTCCGGCGTTGGATCCGCCACGGGTGTAGATTCGAGGGCTAGGATGGCCCGCCGAAGACTGCCCTTTCGAACAAGTCCTTCTGCTCTGGCACGTTTTCCCAACTCGTCCGGCTGGTGACGTGGCGCTGGGGGGGAGTTGACCGCTGCCACGGCTGCCTCGTACAGTTGTTCCCATTCGCCCTTGAAAAACTGACGAAGGCGCAACTTCACTGCGGGCCAATCAGGCTTCCCTGGCTTCGCCTGGCAAAGGATTAGGCGGGGAAGAAAGAGTAACAGGCGCCATCCCGGTACTGAGTCAGGGTGGCGTGCGAGGTGCAGCAGGGGTGTCAGCAGCGCGTTTGCGAAACTGGTGCGGATGTCGTGCGGAATTTTGCGAGAGAGGGGGGGCTGACGACTGTCGCGTAGTGGTGTCAGGTCCAGGTGCGAATTTCGTTGAAGCATATCATGTCCTTCGCCAGCTGTTCTAGCGAGAATTGGAGTGTTGGTGGTGTGGTGGTGTGGGGTGCGTCTGGGTTTGGTTCCCCCCCAATTCCAGTTTGTGCAGATGCGGCTCGGGCGGGTGTTGGAACATTCACTTGACTCTCCACTACTGGAGCAGCTTCCCCACCATCCCCACCACTTCCTCCCGTGGTTGATTCAGCGGCTGGCTGGGCGATAAAGGTGGGGTTTTGCTCCTCATCTGCTTCATCCTCCGCCGCGTTGTTGACATCCACATCTGTTAAAGCCCGCCTCGCCGCCCGTTGGAAGCCGTTCTCCCGTCCTCGGCCACGCCCCGCAGCTCGCTGCCGCCCGCCTCTGCCTCCACGTAATGCCCGTGGCGGTTGGTGGCGGTTCCCCTGTGCCGTGTTCGCCGCGGCCGTTTGGCGTGGCGTTAGCTGCGCTTGCCTCGCAGATACGGTCGGCGCCGGTTGCCCCTGTTGCGGCAATGTCTGTCGCGGGTTCTCCTGCACACGCGTGCTCCACGGTAGTCGACTCTGGACGAGAGTCGGCGGGTGTGGCCGTCCAACCGCGCGTGGTGGCGCCGGCGCCTGAGCCTGCCTTCGTTCCGGCGCCTGCGGCTGACGTGGCGCCTCTCCCTGCTCCTGGCGCGGCGCCCTCTCCCGCGCTTCACCTTCCGGTGTTGCCGTCGCCTGCTGAGACGGCGGCTGTTGCTGGGGTGGCACCTGCGTCTGGCGTGGCGCCTCCTCCTGCGCCTGAGGCGCTGCCTGTGGTGTCTCCTGCTGCATCCCTTGATGCACCAGGTGGGAAGTCTGCCCCTCCGCTCCCCGCGGCTTCCGCGTCTGCCCGTGCCCTTCCTCCGGCTGTGCAGCAGCGTAACTCCCGTCCTCATTCGCCCTCCCCCCAAGTTGAGCGGGATGGGTCTCGTCGGCGGCGTGATTCCCCTCGCCGACGGCAGCCGCCGGCGGACTGGCATGTGCGCCAGGGTGGTTGGAGGGGGGGTCGCGGTCGCGGGCGTGGCGGGTGGCTGGACGCGCCAGTAACGATGGCTGATTTACAGCGTGTCGTCTCTGATGCGATGCGACTGGAGCGAAACGGGCAGGCGAGCCAGAGCAACTCGCCGCACGTCGCTCCAGCGCATGCGTCCCGTCCTCCGTCTGCGCCCTATGAGCCTGCACTTCCCCTTCCACAGTCAGCCATTCCCCCTCCCCTAGGTCCCTCTGCATGCCGCTGCTCATGGGAACCGGATGCGCCTGCCGTGGGTTCCTCCTGTGGTGGGTATGGAGTTTGTGACCGCGGCTGGGGGACCGGTGACGGCGCAATATCCCTCTCTACTGCCTGTTGCTCCTGCTCCTCCGGCTGTATCGGTGCCAGTACAGTCACTGGTGGGGCCCCTTCCGTCAGCCGTAGTGCCGGAGGCGTCGCTGGGGCAGCTATGGCGCCTCTCTGAGGGTCTGCGGGCAGTGCACCTGATTCAGGTGTATGGTCACGCGGCTCTATCCTAGGGTGCTCATATGGACCCTGGCCCCCGGGACGAGTGCCTGGATGCCGCGGATCGACTGGCCGAGCTCCTGGCGCCCGTGTTGGCTACGCCCGCGCGGGGTGGAGTTGCGGGCGTTGGACAGCTGGGGACGGCGGTCCGTGGTTTGCGCCGGTTGTTGCGCGCGGGCTCTGCCGTCGACTTGATCGGCGCAACGACAGTGGTGGTGCGCGAGCTTCATTGTTCTCTGATGGGTCTTCTCGCTGTCCTTGACGCGGATCAGATGTAGGATCCCCTCGCGCTCGTCCCATGTTGTTGCTAGTAGATGGGACCCCTTGCCATGACTGTACGCTTGTGCGTTATTATTGCATCTGCCTGCAATGTGCTTGCCGTTCCCTCACGCGCGGCCGGAGGCCGCGCTGTCGAGCGTCGGCCGCCGAAGGCGGCCGGCGCGAGCCGCTCGGTTAGGAGAGCAAATTAACACTGAACTGAATAATGAGGCTCTAGGACCAGGTCCTAGGGCCTTTATACCGGGCTGGAGAGGGCTGAAGAGGCTAAGGACTAGGCTTCTCTCTCTCTCTCTCTCTCTCTCTCTCTCTCTCTCTCTCTCTCTCTCTCTCTCTCTCTCTCTCTCTCTCTCGCTCTCTCAGCCGCTCGGTTAGGAGAGCAAATTAACACTGAACTGAATAATGAGGCTCTAGGACCAGGTCCTAGGGCCTTTATACCGGGCTGGAGAGGGCTGAAGAGGCTAAGGACTAGGCCTCTCTCTCTCTCTCTCTCTCTCTCTCTCTCTCTCTCTCTCTCACACACACACACACACATACACACACACACACATTCTTTCCCTTGCTCTTTTGTTCATGAAGGCTGATGCTTGGGACCATGGACATGCTTATCCACTGTGCTATATCTCGTTCTCTCTCACTCTCTCTCTCTCTCTCTCTCTCGCTCTATCTCTCTCTCTCCCTCTCACTCTCTCTCTCTCTCTCTCTCTCTCTCTCTCTCTCTCTCTCTCTCTCTCTCTCTCTCTATCTCTCTCTTGCTATGCACCTCCTCTTAATTTTCTAGGGGCACTTTGCCAAAATCAGTGGGCCTTTCAAAAGGAGTTCTTTATTAATCAACCAACACACATAGCAATGCTTTCCTAGCATGCATCATGCCACCGAGTGGCCAACTACATGGGACCGAGGGGGTTGTTGTTTTCCTTCCCTATCCTAGGCCCAAAGCCTATTCCTACCCTTCACTAGGGCTGGCCTCTTGCCATCGCAAACCCCTAGGGTTGCCCACGTTTTTCGCACTCAATAGTGCACCGTGCCTAGCGCGCAAGCGCCTAGTCCCATGGCCCGCTCCAACACCACCGGAGCGGGTCCTTGGCCGCCATGCACGTTCCTAGGGCAGGCACTTGCCACGTGGCCCGGCTGGCCGCAGCGGAAGCACGAGCCCCGAAACCCACGGCAATTGGCCATGGGTGGGGGGGCCCGCTTGGGTAAGAACGGCATCGGCGCGTTGTTTCCGCCGCGGGTGACACGAGCGTATCCGCTTGCCGCCCGGTCCATCGCCGCCATGTCCGCGACCGCCTGCTTGAAGGGTCGAGAAGTCAGCAGGCTCTTTTGCTGGTACAAATTGAAGCGCTTCGTCGTGCGGAATTCAGAGGCGTCCTCCACTTGAAGCACCTCGAAACGCCCCGAGATGAGGTTGAGAGCGTGCGAGATGAGTTCGAGTCTAAGTGACTGGAGGTGAGTTCGAGTACAAGCAGAGCAAGGCTACGGCAGACGAGCAAAAAGGTCAACAAGACACCGCCTCACCCTCCCCCCACAGTGGCACGCGCGGCCGTGAGAGAGAGAGGAGGAGGGGCGGCTGCTGGCTCCTCATACCCGCCACCCCCATACCCTCCAAGATCCCGCCACCCCATACCCCCCAAGATCCCGCCACCCAAACCCCCCCCCCCCCCCCCACTGCTGCACCCGCAGCAGAGGGATGGAGGAGAAGGGAGGGCGGGGGGTGAGGGGCTGGTGCTGCAGATACCCTCCCCCCCACTGCTGCACTCGCAGCAGGGGAATGGAGGAGAAGGGGGGGGGGGGCGGGGAGGGGGGGGTGGTGCTGCAGATCCATTCCTGCCACCCCCTTACCCACCAAGATCCCGCCACCCCCATACCCCCCCCGCCACTGCTGCACCCACAGCAGGGGGATGGAGGAGAAGGGGGGGGGGGGGGGGGGGGGTTGGAGAGGGGTGCAAGGGGCACTCACAAGGGGGTGCAAGGGGCACTCACGAGGGGGTGCGGGGGGGCACCCACGAGGGGGTGCAAGGGGCACTCACGAGGGGGTGCAAGGGGCACTCATGAGGGGGTGCAAGGGGCACTCACGAGGGGGTGCGAGGGGCACCCACGAGGGGGTGCGAGACTGCTCAGTAACGAGTCAGTTATGTGTCCTTGCTGTCGCACTGTACGTTTTGTCAAGTCAAAGGTCGGAGACCTTTGACCTTCGCGTAACCTCCGACGGTTGCTTTGGTTGACTCGAGTGCTTCTTCGCTGTAGTCCGTTCCGTTTCGTGTCGAAGCTTCGATATGACAGAAGCGTTTTAAATCACTTGTTTCCAACAAGCGTGATACCACGTTAGAAACATTGAATGACTACCGAACTGGGCATACAAGAGGGTACAAGTAGCAAACCATACCCTATACAATACAACCCAACCTAGCCTAACAATGTACACCTACCAATGTATTAGTGTATGTTGACAATTTTTGTTGGAATGAAGTGAGTGTACTCTGTAGATGGTGCCAAATTCATGGCATCCATAGCTGTGTTGAGATCTCGTGGTTAGCAGTTCCGCATGTTCATTGCCAGCAGTATGAATCTCAATGGAAGGAGATGGTAAGAGCTCGGATTTCCATAGGGCCTAACTCAAGAACCAGGTCACGACGGTCGATCGGGCAACCTAAAAGTGGTGAATTCACAACATGCTCCTTTCCACTCGATTCACTTGATTCGCCGGCTCTCCCCTCTCTCCGCTTGCCATGCCCACCAGGAGCATCTCCCTCCACATGCCACTCCATTGGTGGGCGCATCTCAGACCGCTTCTGGCTTGCGAAAAGATTTAGCTCGGTGACTTCCTTGATCTGCACAGAAATATTTGAGTTGGCATGCATACGAGCCAGAAACACATGAGAGCGGGAGAGTAACGTGGGAACAGCTGGACATAGCGGTTTGATCACAAGAGCAATCAGCAGTGGCGCACCTTTCGTGAGGCGAAGAGCGAGGGGAGATGAACAGAGGCTAGGCTGGACAGCTGGGGATGCTCCTTGGCCTGGGAGGGGGAATGTAGAGAGGGGGGGTACGGGAAGTGGTAGGCGCGGTGAACAGCAGGTATGGTAAGTCGCAGGTGTGGAGAATGGCAGGTACCAGTAAGTGCAAGGTTCGGTGAGAGGTATTGGAATAAAAGAATTCAGGGTTTGGGCGATGAAACACAAGACAGTGAGGTGACATGCATGGGCTCTGTGGTTGGGTGGGGGGAGGGGGTTTAGCAGCATCATGGAATGAGGAGCATCACGGAATGAGGAGCATCACGGAATGAGGAGCATCACGGAATGAGGAGCATCACGAAATGAGGAGCATCACGGAATGAGGAGCATCACGGAATGAGGAGCATCACGGAATGAGGAGCATCACGGAATGAGGAGCATCACGGAATGAGGAGCATCACGGAATGAGCAGCATCACGGAATGAGGAGCATCACGAAATGAGAAGCGTCCGCAAGTGCGAGAGGTGGGGGCACTGGTGTATCTTGTAAGCCAGCGCATAAGCACACCTCAAGCACACAGGGCACGCGTCACAGCCTAAGCACACAGGCAGGGCACGCGTCACAGCCTAAAGCACACTGGCAGGGCACGAATCAAAGCCGCCACAGGCGTACCTCGTACAGATGTGCAAATCGGACTGTCACCTCATTGGGTGCTAGCTCCTGAGGTGACATGTGAGGCCAAAAAATGGTTCAGTCGAGAGGGGATAGAGGCTGGGTGGGTGAGAGGGGGACTGAATACCACCAGGTAGCTCCACACACAAACCCGCTGATCTACCTGAGCACGACCGGGTAGGTGAGAGGGCGATATAGAGTGGTTTGCACGCTGACCTGTCCGGAACACAAAACCGCTGTTCAGATGAGCCCTCGTACAGTGCACAGCAACTCGAAAAGGATTTGATTGCATGATGAAAGCGGAGGACGAAATGGAAGATGAAGCGGATGGCAAACCAAAGCCACACTGCTTCAGGGGCGTTTCAGAAGGCAGTAGCGAGCAGAAGGCACATTGGTGAGGCTGAATGGTATGTGTGCTTCCAACACCAGCACCTACCTGAGTGGTATGTGTGCTTCCAACACCAGCACCAACCTGAGAGGTATGTGTGCTTCCAACACCAGCACCTACCTGAGAGGTATGTGTGCTTCCAACACCAGCACCTACCTGAGAGGTATGTGTGCTTCCAACACCAGCACCTACCTGAGTGGTATGTGTGCTTCCAACACCAGCACCTACCTGAGAGGTATGTGTGCTTCCAACACCAGCACCTACCTGAGAGGTATGTGTGCTTCCAACACCAGCACCTACCTGAGTGGTATGTGTGCTTCCAACACCAGCACCTACCTGAGAGGTATGTGTGCTTCCAACACCAGCACCTACCTGAGTGGTATGTGTGCTTCCAACACCAGCACCTACCTGAGAGGTATGTGTGCTTCCAACACCAGCACCTACCTGAGAGGTATGTGTGCTTCCAACACCAGCACCTACCTGAGAGGTATGTGTGCTTCCAACACCAGCACCTACCTGAGTGGTATGTGTGCTTCCAACACCAGCACCTACCTGAGAGGTATGTGTGCTTCCAACACCAGCACCTACCTGAGTGGTATGTGTGCTTCCAACACCAGCACCTACCTGAGAGGTATGTGTGCTTCCAACACCAGCACCTAACTGAGAGGTATGTGTGCTTCCAACACCAGCACCTACCTGAGAGGTATGTGTGCTTCCAACACCAGCACCTACCTGAGAGGTATGTGTGCTTCCAACACCAGCACCTACCTGAGAGGTATGTGTGCTTCCAACACCAGCACCTACCTGAGAGGTATGTGTGCTTCCAACACCAGCACCTACGTGAGAGGTATGTGTGCTTCCAACACCAGCACCTACGTGAGAGGTATGTGTGCTTCCAACACCAGCACCTACCTGTAGCGAGACAATGGCAACGTTTGGAGGGAGGTGGTAGGGCGAGGGTGTGTTTCCCTGGTTGCGCCCTTGTTTGACCTCTTGACCGTCTTCTTGAGGCATGTGTGAGAGGGAATACGTCCATCTCATGCCCTGCGCTGCCTTCAGTGCCTTTGTTTCCTGCCATGTGTCATGTGCCATGGGCCATGTGTCATGAGCAATGTGCCATGTGCCATGCGCCATGTGTCACGAGCAATGTGCCATGCGCCATGTACCATGTGTCATGTGCCGTGCGTCACGAGCCATGCGCCTTGTGCCATGTGCAATGTGCCATGCGCCATGCGCCATGCGCCATGTGCCGTGCGTCATGTACCGTGTGTCATGCGCCATGAGAGAAGCAAGCACCACAATTCCACCGAAAGGAATAAAAAACAAGCATGACAGAGAGACAAATGCCTTCTCACCTTCCATTTCACTTTATCCCTCTTCACCTCCGTTCACTTCTCTTCACCTCACTTCACCTCTTCTCACCTCCCCGCACCGCATCTCTCACCTCACGTGCAAATGCCAGTTGCAGTGGTGACACCATTCTCTCTGTGTGCTCCTTCCTCCACCTGGCCGCCTCGCCCCTCACACCCCCCTTCCCCCCACTCTCCCCCACTCCGCCCCCTGCCGCTTCGCCCCTCTCCTTCTCTTCCCTTCCCCTTCTACGTTTCCCTTTGCCGCCCAACCTTTCATGCCTCTTGTCTTTGCTGCCCAGCTTTCGCCGGCCGGACGGCGGTTGACTTTCTTCGGAGTCCGCAGCAGCACCTGCTGCGCCACCACGATTTCCTGAGGCCCACTCCCTGTCCTCGCTATTGACTTCTCCATTACTGGCAGCATCCGCTACTTCACCAGAATCCACTACACTGGCGGAATCGCTTACTGCAACAGAATCCTCTGACACCCACTCCTCCGAGCCTGTGACTGCACTGTCCTCGTTATTGAGTGCATTGATACTGGAAGCGCCTGCAGCTGCACCTGAATCGGAATCCCCTGCATCGCCAGGATCCCCGCCGTAGCAGTCGGTGTCGCTGGGAGCGCTGGGATGCAGAGCAAAGCGAATAAATCCCACCACCTGGGGCAGAAGCACGAGGGCAGAAGCACGAGCACCGTGGCATGAGGGCAATGGCGTGATGGCGATGGGCAGTGGGGCACACACGAGAAAATCACAGAAAAAACATCACTACAGAAACTTGCCTGTGATGAATGGAGATCATATTCACAAACGACAAAGTCCCTATATCCAAGAAGATGCGGAATGGAGGAGACGGTACTTGCTGTTGACACCTGCTGAATATTCCACTCCAGAACATGAACGCGTGAAAGGGCAAAGCCCACATTGCCTATTGCATTGTGCCATGCCATACCATGCATTCACGGCCAGGGGAGTGTGCAGTCAGTGTCGCGTGCCATGCACTCACAGCCAGGGGGGTGCAGTTATCATGGGAGTCGCAGACCTTCTCATCAAGCACCTCCGCCACGCCCTCGCCATCGTCTGAGATCATGCGCCTGACAGGGAGGCGGGAAGATGCATGACTTGTGAAATTCCTTAGATGGAAGCTTTCTGTTTGTATGAAATTTTTAGGAATCATATGTAATCCAAGCGTCTGAAACCATGTGTCCAAGAGGCAGACGAACCCCCCAACCCTCCCCCACACACCCTTCCTACTGTTTGAAATCATGGGCCTGAGAGGGACGAATGCGCAGGGGAGAGAGAGGTGTGAGGGAGTGAGAGAAGGAGCAGTGAGTGGGTCTGTGTGAGGGAAGAAACAGGGACGGAAAGAGTGGTGGATGGCGTTGTAAACAAACACATAGGGGCTTATACCTACTCTTCAAAACTACACCTCAAGACTATAAACTTCAACATGAAACTACAGTAATGCCGGCTCATGGCACATGAAGCCACGCCTCAGCACTCACGCTACAGCATCAATTCCAGCTGTCCGTCTGCCTGGCTGGCTGCCTCTAGTGGACGGTCCACAGAGGCGGTGCACAGAGGCGGTGCACAGTGGTGGTGCTATTACTGACTCCACAACCCACGCCCACGCCTCCCCAATGCTCACCGGTGCAGCATGACTTCGATCTACCCGTCAGCCAGACTCGTCGCCACCAGTGGTCGGTCGGTCCACCAGCAGGGAAGGCTCTTGAGTCGACTCACAAGCCAACGTGGCGTCACTCCTGCTGCTGCCCCTCGGCTCAAGCCACGCCTCCTCAGCACTCACCGGTGCAGCATCACTTCCAGCTGCCCGCCTTCCAGGCTCGCTGCCCCCAGTGGCCGGTCCACCAGCACTGGACCTCTTGAGTCGACTCACACGCCACGCCTAAACTGCACCACATGCCACGCCCACGCCGCCTCAGCGCTCACGGGTGCAGCATGACTTTTATCTGCCCGTCTGCCAGGCTGGCCGCCCCAGAGGCCGGTTGGTCCACCAGCAGGAAGACTCTTTGAGTCAACTCACAAGCCACGGTGCTGTCAGTCAGTCCTGCTGACTACACCACAAGGCACGCCCACGTCCCCCCAATGCTCACCGGTGCAGCATGACTTCGATCTGCCCGTCTGCCAGGCTGGCCGCCCCCAGTGGCCGGTCCACCAGCAGCGAGAGCTGGGCGGTGCTGTCGGCGATGAATGCCCCTGCTGTGAGCTGTGGGCGGGCATGTGGAGGATGGGGAAGCAGGGGAGGATGGACGATGCACATAGAGCTTAAAAACCAACCAGCAGCGAGAGCTGGGCGGTGCTATCGGCAATGAACACCCTTGCTGTGAGCTGCGGATGAGGAGGGCAGAGGAGGCGAGAGGAGGGCAGAGGAGGCGAGAGGAGGGCAGAGGAGGCGAGAGGAGGGGAGAGGGGGACAGAGGAGGATAGAGGAGGATGGAGGAGGATAGAGGAGGATGGAGGAGGATGGAGGAGGATGGAGGAGGATGGAGGAGGATAGAGGAAACCTAGGACACGTTGGTCTAGGGCAGGCGAGTGTGAGAAACCCATGGCCTGGCCCTTGAATATAGATGCAGAGCAGACAAGCGTGGCATGCTGTCTGCATGTGGCGCTGTCTGCATGTGGCATGCTGTCTGCATGTAACATTCTGTTTGCATGTAACATTCTGTTTGCATGTAACATTCTGTTTGCGTGCAACATGATCTGAGGATGTGACATGAAACAAGGTAGCCTGTGATAACTTGTACGGAAAACGCATGCAAACATCTGTCATGCAAACATCTGTCATGCAATATACAAACCGCTATGCCACCTATCTGCACGACCATGCAATGCAACACCACCATCTGCACTGCACACACGCACATGCTCGCCCACCCGCCCCCCCCATGCATACACATGCCCGCACACGAGTCATAAGCCCACCCACACCTGCTGCCAAAACACGCCACCCATGCATGCCGCCCGGTCACCTGAGAGCAGTGACTGACAGGGTAGAAGTTGCCGGCGATAGGCTGGTAGACGGTGAGGTTCCAATCCGCCCGATGGTTGCGCACCTGATGGGCGTGGCGGCATGGGAGGGCGGTAAAGGGGAGGTGAGGTGAGGGATGAGGGAGGGAGCATGGGAGTCTGGGATGTGTTGAAAGTGCGATAGGCTAGTGGACGGTGGGATTCCAATCCAATCCATCATTGTGCACCTGATGGGCGTGGGGGCATGGCAGGGAGGGATGGACCATGGGTAACGGCCATGGTATTTCGTAGCACGGCGCAGCATGGCACATAGAAAGGACTTGTCTAAGGCATCTCGAGACGAATCTTATTATTGTTGCAGGTAGCCTCTCTTGGTGCAGGTAGCCTCTCTTGGCGCAGGTAGCCTCACCCGGCGCAGGTAGCCTCTCTTGGCGCAGGTAGCCTCACCCGGCGCAGGTAGCCTCACCCGGCGCAGGTAGTCGTGGCCCTGAGAGTCAATGAAGAGCGTCTCAAAAGTCGTTTCCTTACCCACAATCCCTGAGGCTCCTCAAAGGTAGTCTCACCCGGCGAAGGTAGTCGCGGCCCTGAGAGTCGGTGAAGAGCACACCGGCAGTGGCGAGGGAGGAGGCGAAGCGAGTGACCACCTCGCGACCCACATAGGGCTTCCTGGGCACTGGGCCCACCTGATGATGTTGACGTGCATGCATGGCATGGCACGGCAAGCGCATGGCATGGGATGATACATTGGTTTTGAGATGCCTCATAATGAAGCGAGTGAGCACCTCGCGACCCACATAGGGCTTCCTGGGCACTGGCCCCACCTGATGATGTTACGCACACATGCATGTATGGGAGAGATCAGAGAAGGGGGAAGGAAGGGTAGGGGGGTGTTTGAGGGTGGACACAAGACACGGTGTGGCAATGAATGGGGGTGGTGCATCAGCCACCTGGGTGAAATATGATTCTTAAAAGTCTTTGGGAAGCATGAAGTTTGTCAAAAAGAGATGTTGTGATGCCATGATAAGGGTGGCTGGACCTGATGTATCGATGAATGAAGTGACTCCCTGTGATGGTGGAAGGCTGGATGGCCGGATGGCCAGCGGATGAGACAGCAGCAGGTGTACAGAGTGCAGCGAGTTACACGGCCACAAGTCCGCAATTCGTGCGCAGGTAAATTTTGTGCTGAGCTGATCAAGTCGTGCATGCAGGCAAGAGCAAACAACTCGAAAGACAGAAAAAAGCTTGCTCCCATGATTCACATGGACCCATAATGTATTTTTTTTTGTCGACCAGAAAAAAACCTGCTCCAGTGTCGCACACAACCCATGGTGTGTATGATTTCTATAAGGTCAACCTGTGATTTGACAGCTTGGTAAGTCGGTTGATGACGAGTGGCCATCGCTCACCATGTAACGCATCTCACCATGTAATGCATCTCACCATGTAATGCAGCTCACCATGTAATGCATCTCTGTTGCATAGGATCCGGTCACTTTGAAGACTTACGACGAACTCAAATCTCAACTAAACGCAAATCCGTTTGGTACAATGGCGCGCGCTGGTTTTAGCTACCATTTGCAAGTTGAATCACTTGATTTCATGGTCTAGGGAGTGAGAACGAAGTAAAAACGTATAGCTGCTGCTTTTTCTAGAAAGGATGGAGGAAGAACAAACATTTAAACTTGGAGAAAAACACAGAGATGATAATATCTAACAGCCATGCACAACGACATATGCTCATGCAAATAATGCAAACATAAATGGCACGAGCACTCGGCAAGACGTTAGGATGACATGCACTCAGAATGACGTGCATCCAACAAACTCCCCCTCAGACTAACGGACTGCATGCACACACACTCACAAGCATGCAAACACTCATACACACAAACACGCATGCACTCACGACACCGCTGCCCACACTAGTGCAATGCCATGCCACACATCTTTGCACACTTCCATTGTGCACTCTCGGGAAGTCGTTTGGTGAGGAAATCTGCTGCCTGCTTGCTAGCCTTCACATGACGAAGCTCAACAATCCCCTCCTTCACCATCTGCCTCACCCAGTGCCACTTAATCTTCATGTGCTTGTTCAGCCCATTCATGATAGGATTATTGGCCATGCCAATAGCAGCCTCGCTGTCGGAGAACAGTGGTGTAGGTCCCTCCTGTTCAGCTCCCATGTCCTCCAGCAGCTTCATCAGGAGCACGATCTCCTTGATGGCATGATACATTGCCATGTACTCTACCTCTCCGGAAGACTGAGCAATCTCACTCTGCTTCTTGGACCTCCAGCTTACTGGTCCTCCTCCGACCATGCACACATAGCCACCAACTGATGACTGATCCTCCTCCTCAGAGGCCCATGTAGCGTCGGTGAAGCATGACAGCTTCAAGGTTCCAGGCGTGATCCCATCTGCTCCAAACTGTTTCAGCTGGCCGCCAGCTGAAAACTGAACACCAGCAGATGACGTTGATTCGAGGTAGCGCACCAAGCGCTTTGCCACCTCCAACTGCTCCTCAGTGGGCCGCTGCACAACTCTAGCCAGCTGCACCACTCCAAATGAAGCATCAGGTCGCGTATGCACAGCTGCATACATCACACTCCCAATGAGTCACTGGTACTCATTCTGCTGCTCATCCTCAAGCACATCATCCTCCTCAGCTGCCTTCTTCAGCTTGAAGCCTGCAGGGAACGGCGTCAACACAGTGCGACCCCCAGTCACACCATAGCGCTCCATGACACCAGAGATGTAGTGTGACTGATGCACCTTCAGCCACCTCCTCTCAACATCCCTCTCAATCTGCAGCCCCAAGTAGTAGTGGACATCCTCCAGCATCTTACACTTGAAGTTGTCCATCAGCGGCTTCTGTGTCCTCTCAATCTGCTCCATGGAAGGTGAGAACAGCAGTATGTCGTCGACATACACTTGCAGCAAGAGCAGCTGCTCCCCCTCTCCAAGCAGAAACAAACTGTGATCCGCTAGGGACGTCTTGAAGCCTCCACCCAGCAGCACCTCCTCCAGCTTCTCGTACCAGCACCTGGGCACTTGCTTAAGGCCATAGATAGCCTTCTTGAGCTTGCACACTCGGCTGGTCTCATCCTCATAGCCGTCAGGCTGCGCCATGTAGATATCCTCCAGCAGCACTCCATTGAGGAACGCAGTGGTGATATCCATCTGCTTCACGTGCCATCCCTTCATAGCTGCGCCAGCCAGCAAATTCCTTAGTGTCACTGGCTTAGCAACGGAAGCGAAGATCTCCCCGAAGTTGACCTTCTCTTTCTGCTGAAACCCCTTGGCGACCAAGCGGCTCTTGAACCGCTCCAGCGCACCATCAGCTCCACTTTTCACCTTGAAGACCCACTTGCTGCTGATCGAAAGTCGCCCCTTTGGTAACTCAACAAGCTCCCAAGTCCCATTCTCAATGAGACTGTTGAACTCCGCATCCATGGCAGCCTTCCACTCCTCCTTCTGGGGTTCACTCAATGCCTCCTCCACTGTGGCTAATTCTCCAGGCAAGGGTGTGAAGAAACAGAAGGCCATCTCCTCATCCTCTCCCTCATCCGCTTGAACCGCCATGGCACCTTGCTTGGGTCCTCCCAAACGGCTATACTTCAACCTCGAAGGTGGCGCTGCCACTCTTTTCTCGCGGGTTGCAGTCTGCTGCCCATGTGGTGAAGCTCCTCTCTGCACACTCCTCTTGGTGACCTTGGCGTTTGCAGCAGGCTCGGGCTGAGTTGGTGAGTCCACACGTGCCAACTCATCTTCCAACCCCTCCTCTCCAGCACGACCAGAAACTTGCTGCTCACCACCACCACTATGGTCACTGGTCAGCTCTGACCCATGGAGTTCATCAAGGTGCAGCTGAACCTCCTCCACTGCAGACCGCTCAATCTCTTGCAGACGCAAGCTAATATGCACCTGATGCTGCTGCTGCCAGTCCTTGTACATGACGTCCTCCACAAACTTGACATCACGGCTGACCAGCGACTTCTTGCTCTTGGAGTCCCACATCAGCCACCTCTTCGAGTCAAGAGCCGTCCCAAGATGGACAGCCCAAAAAGCAGCAACTTCAAGCTTGTGCCTCTGCTCCTTAGGCACCATCACAAGCCCCATGCAGCCCCATACCCGCAGCATGCCAATGGATGGCTTCTTTCCAAGCCAACGCTCGTACGGCACCCAGTGTCTGTCGCCAATATGCGTCAAGACCCTGTTCTTGACTGTGATGACATGGCGAACAGCTTCAGGCCATAAATTATAGTGCATCCCGACAGCCCCCAACAGGGTCTTAGCCGCCTCGCCAATGGTCCGGTTGGCGCGCTCAGCAATGCCGTTCTGCTGCGGTGTTCCAGGGCAGGTCAGCTGGTGTCGAATGCTGTTCCTCTTGAGAAACTTGGTGAATTCCGCTACAAGGAACTCTCCACCACGGTCGCTCCTCAGCACCTTCACCAGCCGCATCACTTGCCGCTCCACCATCGGCAACCAATCCTCCTTGATCGCCGCTGCACATCGCCTTTCTTGGACAAGGGACGTGCCCACGTGAAACGGCTCCATTCGTCCACCATGGTGAGGAAGTACAGCACTGTCCTCATATGACCCACCAGGTCCATGTGCACCACCTCCAAGGGTGCCTTCGCCGATCCCTCTGCACATGGAAACGGGAACCGCGCAAACTTGTTTTGCATGCACTCCTCGTAGCTGCCTTAGTGAGCGCCATCTCCTTGCAGTTGCAGCCCATGCACGCACTTCTCCTTGTGCATCACCTCCAATGTAGATACAGCCACGTGTGCGAGTCGCCGATGCCAATTTTCTCAATTTGCTTGGCCCGAGGTAGCCGACGCCTTCACCGCCGCGCTTCCTCCAATCAGCTCGTCTCCTTGCACACCTTGCTGCTCCTCTTCAGTGACACTTTCCTCCATAGATGCCGCGGCTGCCGCCTTGCCCGATTTCCACCAAGGGAGGACCGGGATCTGCCATATGCGCTTGTGGACATCTCCCTTCCGCTGCAGGTCCCAAATGAGGCGCTCGTCGTTGTAGGCACGATAGCGCTCCGAGCCAATCGTCTCGATGTTCACACCCGCATCTCCCAATCGGCCAGTAGAAATCAGGTTCGCGTACAAGTTCGGCACCCACAGCACTTCTTCATCCCCATGAGCTCTCCATCCACTTCCATGAACTTGGCGCACCCCATGCCCATGACCTTGGCCTTGGCGCCCGTTGCGGATGTGACCGTAGAGATGGGTGCGGGCTGAATCTCATCGAGTAGGTCCGCACGAGGAGTCATATGTCAGGAGCTTCCCGAGTCAATCAGCCAATGGGTGAGGGGGTGTAGGAGAACCTTAGCAGCCATAGCGAGGTCGGTTGCGCCTTCGTTCACGAAGAAGAACCCGGCCTTCCGCTCCTCAGATTTGCCGCATTTCTCCTCATCCATCTCCTCTCCACTAGCTCCCATGACTCCCCCACTCCTCTTGCCACCATGCTGGTTGCTTGATGAAGGCGGGGTCCAATCCTTAGGTCGTTGGTAGCACTTCTTCCAATGATGTCCGCGCTTCTTGCAGTAGAAGCAAACCTCCCCTTGACCCCGCCGCCATCTTCCTTAGGGTTGTCCTTGTTCTTGTCTTTCCACTTCTTCTTGAAGCCACTCTTTCCACCTCCAACTCCATAGCCAGCCCCCTCCTCCGAGCGCTCCACACTCCGCCGCAGCAAGTCCTCCTCTAGGATGCGCGCGCGAATGTAATCCACGCTCCACTGGGGCTGTTGAGAGTTGAGGTTGATCGCAAGGGCAGACCACGACTCCGGCAGCCGTATCACGATCTCCACGCATTGCACGAGCTCCGGGTATACCAGACCGCTGCCTTCGAGCTTCGTGAAGATGTCCCGCATCTCATCCAACACTGGTTGCATCGGCTCTCCATCAACGAACTTGATGTCGCGCAGCCGCCGCGCGAATAGCACGATGCCGGTAGCGTGTGTTGGTGAGTGCACATCCAGAAGCTTCCTCCAAGCCTTGGGGACACACTCTGGATCATCCAAGAGGTCCTTGATGTGGTCAAGTTGTCGTCCGCCAACCGCTTGCACCATGAGCATGTACGCGTCGAACGATCGCTTCATCCACGCTCCTTTCAGTTCCGCGGCCTCCGGCATCTTCTCCTTCCCCTCCAGCCTCTCTACCTCTAGCCATCTCGCCACTAGAACCTCCGGAGTCCGTATCAGTCATATTGAGGCCTTATGAACGGTGAAACTTGAGAAATTGTTTGGAGAGAATTCTGCCATAAATTTCGATTCTACAAAAAGCGTCGTCGCGGACTGGATACTTCGAATTAGAACGCGGTTCGACCACCAATCGAAACTTCGCGAGCAGAGCTACTTGAAACGGGTCTCACTCGTCAACATTGGTTGAGAATTGATGACGATTCGTCGCTTCAAAGTCGACCACCAGCTCTGATACCACTTGTTGCATAGGATCCGGTCACTTTGAAGATTTACGACGAACTCAAATCTCAACTAAACGCAAATCCGCTCGGTAGGATTGTGCGTGCTCGTCATAGCTACCATTTGCAAGTTGAATCACTTGACTTCATGGTCTAGGGAGTGAGAACGAAGTAAAAACGTATAGCCGCTGCTTTTTCTAGAAAGGATGGAGGAAGAACAAACATTTAAACTTGAAGAAAAACACAGAGATGATAATATCCAACAGCCATGACAACGACATATGCTCATGAAAATAATGCAAACATAAATGGCACGAGCACTCGGCATGACGTTAGGATGACATGCACTCAGAATGACGTGCATCCAACAATCTCAACATGTAATGCAGCTCACCATGTAATGCAGCTCACCATGTAATACATCTCACCATGTAATGCATCTCACCATGTAATGCAGCTCACCATGTAATGCATCTCACCATGCAATGCAGCTCACCATGTAATGCATCTCACTATGTAATGCATCTAAGCCTATGCAAGAATATTCGATATTTGAGAATTATTCGATATTCATTCGAATACCTGAATTCGAGAGAATAAGAAATGGCCGTGTATTCGAAAATATTCGCATCACGAGTATTCGTGGATGTAGAATATTCGGCTAACGGATATTCAGGGTATTCGTTAATATTCGGTATTCTACCATTAACATTCCCCCCCCCTCCCCCCTTCCCACATGCGGCTATCATCTTTGGCGGTCTGTCTACAAGAGGCATCATGAGAATGGTGCTCAAACGCCCAGCAGGAATAGCCCAAGGATCAAAATTCATGATGGGAGTAGCAGCGAACTTGTGAGAAAACGCTTAGCAGGATAGTTGCTTGAGCGGGATTAGGAAAGGTCTTGGTGCGGGATTGAGTCATGGTGTTGATATTATAAGGTGCATTGTATCACCCTGTGTCAAACATGCATTAGCCTTTCGACACTGGCTATACAAAATATATTATTACTCGACACTTATTCGTATTCGATTCGAATTCGGCAGTATTCGAATCGTATTCGTATTTGGTTTTCGGTCAATATTCGAATCGTATTCGTACTCAGCTTTTGGTCAGTATTCGGTCAAATAAGAAACCACCCAGTATTCGGAGAATATACAGGAAAAATATTCGTATTCGTATTCGTATTTGTATTCGTTTGTACAAGCTTAAATGCATCTCACCATGTAATACATCTCACCATGTAATTCATCTCACCATGTAATGCATCTCACCATGTAATGCAGCTCACCATGTAATGCATCTCACCATGTAATGCATCTCACCATGTAATGCATCTCACCATGTAATGCAGCTCACCATGTGATACATCTCACCATGTAATGCATCTCACCATGTAATGCATCTCACCATGTAATGCATCTCACCATGTAACGCATCTCACCATGTAACGCATCTCACCATGTAATGCAGCTCACCATGTAATGCAGCTCACCATGTAACGCATCTCACCATGTAACGCATCTCACCATGTAATGCATCTCACCATGTAATGCATCTCACCATGTAATGCAGCTCACCATGTAATGCAGCTCACCATGTGATACATCTCACCATGTAATGCATCTCACCATGTAATGCATCTCACCATGTAATGCAGCTCACCATGTAATGCAGCTCACCATGTAATGCATCTCACCATGTAATGCAGCTCACCATGTAATGCATCTCACCATGTAATGCATCTCACCATGTAACGCATCTCACCATGTAATGCATCTCACCATGTAATGCAGCTCACCATGTAATGCATCTCACCATGTAATGCATCTCACCATGTAATGCATCTCACCATGTAATGCATCTCACCATGTAACGCATCTCACCATGTAATGCATCTCACCATGTAATGCATCTCACCATGTAATGCAGCTCACCATGTAATGCAGCTCACCATGTAATGCATCTCACCATGTAACGCATCTCACCATGTAATGCAGCTCACCATGTAATGCAGCTCACCATGTAACGCATCTCACCATGTAATGCAGCTCACCATGTAATGCAGCTCACCATGTAACGCATCTCACCATGTAATGCAGCTCACCATGTAACGCATCTCACCATGTAACGCATCTCACCATGTAATGCATCTCACCATGTAATGCATCTCACCATGTAATGCAGCTCACCATGTAATGCAGCTCACCATGTAATGCATCTCACCATGTAATGCATCTCACTATGTAATGCAGCTCACCATGTAATGCAGCTCACCATGTAACGCATCTCACCATGTAATGCAGCTCACCATGTAATGCAGCTCACCATGTAACGCATCTCACCATGCAATGCAGCTCACCATGTAATGCAGCTCACCATGTAATGCATCTCACCATGTAATGCATCTCACTATGTAATGCAGTTCACCATGTAATGCAGCTCACCATGTAATGCATCTCACCATGTAATGCATCTCACCATGTAATGCATCTCACCATGTAATGCATCTCACCATGTAATGCATCTCTGCATAGTCTTGTCCCGGATACACTCGAATGACCTGCAAAGCAAGCAGACAGGTTGCAGGGCAGTGGAGGGAAGTTGGGAGAAACACAGCAATGGCATCTCGGTGCTGCCAGTACCAAGCCAGTGCAGAGCACAGTTTTTCTCAAGCAGCAAGGTCATACCACCCATCCGGCCTGCATGCAAGGAAATCACTCCGTGCAAGTAAGGGTGGAAAACGAAGCAAAGACCTCCCCAACTAGCACACCAACTAACTCACCTCTGACAGCCGCCCACCTCTGCCAGCCGCCCACCTCTGACAGCTGCCCACCTCTGCCAGCCGCCCACCTCTGCCAGCTGCCCACCTCTGACAGCCGCCCACCTCTGACAGCCGCCCACCTCTGACAGCCACCCATCACATCCACCCACCCCACCCACCTCGGACAGCCAGGGCGCCAGTGCTCGGTGAAACTCCTCCACTAGCGGCCCCCGAAGCACTCGGATTGGCACCTGCCGAGATGAGAGAAGAGCGTGAGTGCAGGGAGGGAGAGAAGAGCGTGAGTGCAGGGAGGGAGAGAAGGGGTGATGACAGGGGTGATGGCAGGGGTGACGGCAGGGACAAGAGGTCGGAGTGAGTGCAGCAAGCGATGGCGGCAGGATGAGTGGAGCAGATTATGGCTCATGATGGTAAGGAGCGTGTCAGGATGCTGCCTGTGTCAGTGATGCTCTGGTCAGGTTTAGAGTGCAGGGAGGACCATGTGTAAGTAAAGGCTGATTGAGTAAGTATGGGCTAAGCTGCTCTGCCATGCCACCGACTGTGCAGCTTGGCTTGGTTTCACATGCAATCCTAGCTTCTTGCGTTCTCCTCATAGATTCTTCTGCCTGGTGCCAGCCAGCACCGCTGACGGCACTTGCCTGTTGGCTCATGTTCTGGGCAGACGTGGCTGCATGTGGGGGGTTGAAGATGTACGCTCCTGCTGCCTGCCATGCCATGCCATGCCATACCACACCATGGAACGCCATGCCATGCCATACCATGCCATACCATGCCACACCATGCCACGCCATGTCATGCCACACCATGCCATGTGGGATGGTGGGGCAGTGATGGGAAGGAGTTGCGAGATGGAGAGCATCAGCAGTTCTGTTGTGCAGGATGCCTGGGTGCTACGAATTGCAGGCAGGGGGTTGAAGATCCATGCCCTGCTGCCTGCCATGGTATGGCGGAGTGTGGGGCGAATTGAATGTATTGTAAATGTACAGTGTCGGAGTGGTATGGAGTGGCATTGACAAATAGGATCAGATTGACATGAACGGAAAGGAAAGAAGACAAACAAAAATGAGTAGGGAGGAAAAGGGAATGCTGCAAGGAGCTCTGGGTGGTGCAATAGAGGAGTGGAAGGAGGTGGAGGAGCAAGGGAAGAGCGTGGGTGACCAAAGTGTCTTTTAAGGTGTAAACACCCATGTACGCACATGCTTTGAAATGTAGACACCCATGCCCGTGCCCACTTGCTCGTCTGAAAGCTGCAACAAAGGAAATAAAGAATTATCCGATGAGCGAAGCAAGATAGCATGGATGGATCGATGGACAGATGCAAGAGGGGTTAGGGAATGGAATGGAAACCAAGAGCAGAAGACGAATGCCACAGGCCAGAAAGCAGAGGCAACTGAGAGCAATGCACAAGGACTGGTCAGCAGCACAGCACATGATGCAGCACAGCACATGATGCAGCACAGCACATGATGCAGCACAGCACATGATGGAGCACAGCACATGATGGAGCACAGCACATGGTGCAGCACAGCACATGATGCAGCACAGCACATGGTGCAGCACAGCACATGGTGCAGCACAGCACATGGTGCAGCACAGCACATGGTGCAGCACAGCACCATATCTTACCACTGTTTCGCCTCCCTGCTGGTTGCGGGCAAGCAATTGCAGGCGAGCCAAGCCGTATGCTCCCTTCGAGAAGAGCACTCGCAGTGCTGTCTGTGAAGAGCCACTTTGTGCATTAGAGCTCCCTGGCGCTGTGCTCCCAGGGGCAGTACCACCCTCCCCATCACTAGCAACACCAGCCGCACCAGCAGTAGCAACATCACCAACACTGCCAGCAACAGCACCATCGACCTCAGCAGCACCACCACCAGGTCCACTAGCAGCCCCATCCCAGCCTCCCAGCACAATCACATCACCACCACCAACCCCTTCACCCTCCTCATCTACCATCACACCTTCTCTCTCCAAACCCTCCCCTTCCTCCCCTCCTTCCTTCCCCTCCTTACCCTCTTCCCCCCGTCCTCCCTCCTCCTTTCCTTCACCCGCTTCCTCCCCCTTGCCCCACTCCCCGCCCCCACCTCCCGGCTGCACCTGTGCCTGCCACTCGGTGCTCTGTACTGCAGCGCCGGGGGTGTTAGGGGAAGCTGGAGAGAGGAAGAAGGTGGAGTAGCCGAGGGGTGGCACCTTGGCACGGAACACCACTGACACCACCACGCCTTGCTGCTGCTGCTGCTGCTGCTGCTGGTTTTGCTGTTTATTCTGCTGCTTCTGCTGCTGTCGCTTTTGCTGCTGCTGCTTCTTCTTCTTCTGCTGCTGCTGCTGCTGATTCTGCTGCTGATTCTGCTGCTCCTCCAGCTGTTGCTGCTGCTGTTGCTGCTGCTGTTGCTCTCTCACCTCCCTCCCTTGATTCTCCTCCTCGCCCCCCCCCACCCTCTCCTCGCCCCTTTTGACACTCTCGCCACCCATCTGCACATTGATGTACCTCTCACGGGTTTCCCATGGAACCAGGGCCTCGGGAATGGCCTGTGAGGGAACGGTGTTGCCATGGGCGTCAGTCACAATGACTGCAGGGGAGGAGACCTGGGGGGGCGGGGAGGAGGAGAGCGATTATCATGTTCGGAAATGTAGCAAAGATAGGCTGGTAGGACCTCGGGAATGGCCTGTGAGGGAACAGCATTGCCACGGTCATCAGTCGCAATGACTACAGGGGAGGAGACCTGGGGAGGCGGAAGGAGAGGAGTGAATTGTGCTATTTAACATGACAAGAGAAGGATGGCAGGACCTCAGGAAGAGACTGGCGAGGGACCAGTGATGCGCTGAGCATCCAGTTAAGTTAAGTGACTGAAAGGTAGGATGCGTGGCGGAATGGGAAGGTGTGGCAAGAAGGGTGGTGGCGGAAAGGTGGAAGATGGCAAAGCGTGGGTTTGACAGAGAACGAGGGAAGGGGAAAATGGTGGGAAAGGAAGAGTGGGAAGGGGAAAATGGTGGGAAAGGAAGAGCAGGAAGGGGAAAATGGTGGGAAAGGAAGAGTGGGAAGGGGAAAATGGTGGGAAAGAAAGAGCGGGAAGGGGAAAATGGTGGGAAAGGAAGAGCGGGAAGGGGAAAATGGTGGGAAAGGAAGAGCGGGAAGGGGAAAATGGTGGGAAAGGAAGAGCGGGAAGGGGTTGCGGGGGGTAGACATGAGCACAAGGGCGAACACCTGTTCGGTTCGCCTCGAACACGTTCGAGGCGAACCGAACATGTTTGTTTTTTTTGCTTAAATTGTTCGCCGAACAGTGTTCGATGTTCGCCCGAACACGTTCGTGTTCGGGCCGCTGCTGCAATTTGCCCCGCGACGAACACGAACGTGTTCGATGTTCGCCCGAACATGCCTTCACAGGCGAACGGCGAACACGTGTTTTTGCTTAAAGTGTTCGCCGAACCGAACACTGTTCGGTTCGGCAAACGGATGTGTTCGTCTAGGGGCGAACACGAACATGTTCGTGTTCGCCCCTTGCTCATCCCTAGCGGGGGGAGGGTGGGAGGCTTGGCTGCGCAACAGAAGGACGAATAACAGGGAGAAAGAGCAAAGGCGGGTGCCAAACTGAATGGTGCACTTTGATGCTAACCAATGGGGCCCCAATCCGTTCATTTGTGGTTGCATTGCCTCACAGGAATGCGGATTATCTCGTCTCGGGCCCAACCGAGTGGGTTGTACGCAGCAATAACCTGGCCATAGACATGGGCATGGGGGTGCATGGGCATGGGCATGGGCATGGGCATGGGGAATGGGCATGGGGAACGCATGAGCGAGAGTGTGTGGGAATGGGGTAGACATATGGGTGTTGATCGGCTGAACCAGCTTGGGCCAGCAAAGGCACTCTCACAGCTCCTGAAGCACACAGATTGTGTCAAGTTGGTTGATTGATGCATCGAGTTACATCAACAACTCGAAGCAATCTGATGAAGACGCAAATGAGGGTTGATTGATGCATGGGCCAAAGGTAGGGGAATGGACCAAATGAAGCGACAGTGGTGTGGTACAGAGCACAGTACCAGTGTGGTGCCGTGGGGGATGGGGTGGTGCGTGGGTGGGCAGTAGGAGATGTTGAGTAGTGGGCACTGCGAGGGGGAGGGGAGGGACCATGAGGAATGGTGTGGTGAGTGAGTGGGAGAGCAGTAAGAAATATGAGCAAGGGGCATTGCATTGCAAGACGAAGGGAGAGCTAGGTAGAGAGCGAATTAGAGGGAGGGGAGTGGGATGGATGAGAGAATGCTATGCATGCAAGATGCTCATTTGATGGGACAATTCGAAACACATATGATGCGCATATGATGCACACGTGTTGAGCAAATGCTCAAGAGATAAATACGGAGAGAGGGACAGAGGGTGGAACACAGAGATAGATTACCAGCTGGAAGTCCAGTCCAAGCCTCAGCGCTCCCTCTGTGCCTCTGTTTCCCAGATTCTCTGTCTCATTATAGAGTGTCTCGGCAGGAGCAGCAGGTTGAACTGTGGTGCGAGCAGCAGGAGCAGCAGGAGTGGAAACAGCGGCGGGTTGGAGGTCCAGTGCGCCCTGAGTGATGAGGTGAGCGAGGGACGAAGTCACTATCACAGACGCCTGCAGCGTGGGGAGGTAGAGGGATCAAAAGTGCATGGGGTGCAGGAGTATCAGCAGCGGTGGGTTGCAGGCCCAGTGCTCCCTGAGTGATGATGTGGGTGGGGGACGAGGCCACTATCCCAGACGCCTGGAACATGGGATAGGAGGGATAGGAAGTGCATGGGTTGCAGGAGGGAGCAACGGGGAAGTGAGGAAGAGGAGTGGTAAGAGTGGATGTTGAGGAGAAGAGCAAGTTGGTTCATTACTCAATTATAGCTTCCAGTGGAAGCTGCACTGTCACTGTGTCTTCAAACGCTCATTCACAATGCCCTCTACCCCCACACACCCTTCCCTACCCACGCCCTTCCCCACCCACGCCCTTCCCCACCCACGCCCTGCCCTCCTCGGTGCAGTCAAGTCAATGCTTTCGGCCATCCTCGCTCGCACCGCCTCCATGTTCTCACCTCCTGTGCTCCCCTGGCCATGTAGCGTCGCAGCGTGAAAGAAGTTGATCTTCGAGACGTCTCCATGTAAGGTCGCAGCGTGTGCTCAAACTTCAACTTCTTTCTCGCTCGCACCGCCGAGTTGACTTTTGAGTTGACTCAAAAGTCAACATGTAGGGTCGCAGCGTGTGCTGAAAAGTCAACTTCTTTCTTGCTCGCACCGCCTCCATGTTCTCACCTCCTGTGCTCCCTTGTAGGGTTGCAGCGTGTACTCATCATGCCCAACTTCCCCTTCCCCACACGTCCTACCTCCTGCACTCCCCTGTAGAGTCGCGTGCAGCCATCATTCACGCGCTGCCTTGCCGTGCCTGTTGTGGCTTCATGCTGCTGTTCCACCGCCACTGCCTCTTCCGTTCCCAATGGCCCCTATCCCAAACCATACTCTACCTGCCCCACCATCCCCCCCTCCTCCCCCTACTACTACTCGTTCCTTCCTCTCACCTCCTGCACTCCTCTGTACAGCTGCAGCGTGTAGTCGTCAGACACGTGCTGCTTCGCCGTGCCTGTGATGGCGCCATGCTGCTGTGCCACTGTCCCTGCATGCCCACATTCTTGATGTTCCCTATCCTGTGCCATGCCAGGCCCTACCTCCTGTGCGCCCTTATAGAGCTGCAGCGTGTAGTCATCATTCACATGCTGTTTCGCCGTGCCTGTGATGGCATCGTGGTGCTGTGCCACTGCCACTGCCTCCTCCAAAGGGAACGTCGAGGCCAGGCGGGACGCTGGGGGCGAGGGGGCGTGGATAGTGGTGAGGTTGGTGGAGAGCAGCACGGGCACCACGAGGCGGGAGGTTTGGTTTCCCCACGCTAGCAGCTTGGACTGGCCCACTGTTGCTTCCAGTAGCGTGGCTGCCTGCGGGAGGAGCAGCGTGGGGGGGTGGAAGGGAGGAGGAAGGAACGGACGTGGGGTGGAAGGGTGTGGGGGGTATGGATGGCGCAATGTTTCGTTGACAGCAGCACTGCAAGCGCAGCCCTTTGGAGGCAAGATCCTTCTGAGGCAAGATCCTTCTGAGGCGCTGAAGAAAACGCGGCCCTTTAGGGCTAAGAACCTCTGTGATTCAACAGGGCCTTGACGGTGCGACATGCAGATTGATATGTCCGTAGAAACGCAGCAGCAGCAACGCAGCAGCAGCAACTCGGCAGAAGCAACTCAGCAGCAGCAACTCAGCAGCAGCAACTCACCTGCAGCAGCAACTCACCTGCAGCAGCAACTCACCTGCAGCAGCAACTCACCTGCAGCAGCAACTCACCTGCAGCAGCAACTCACCTGCAGCAGCAACTCACCTGCAGCAGCAACTCACCTGCAGCAGCAACTCACCTGCAGCAGCAACTCACCTGCAGCAGCAACTCACCTGCAGCAGCAACTCACCTGCAGCAGCAACTCACCTGCAGCAGCAACTCACCTGTAGCAGCAACTCACCTGCAGCAGCAACTCACCTGTAACAGGCTGCTGCACATGCGAGCATAGCCCTTGAAGGCCGGGCGGCTTGAGTAATACCCAGTCCAGTACTCCGTGGAAGCACTCGCGTACCTGCCAGTGAGCGAGCAGACAGTCAGGCAGCCAGGCATGCCACAGCGTGGGACAAGGACCAGAGCAGATAAGCTGGTAGGCACTGGGCATTGGCAGGGTACAATGTGAGCCTTTGCGGACCACAGCGCCTCGGTAGCTTGCTGTGGGAAGCACATGGAAGGAAGGAGCAGGGAGGGCAGGGCCACTCACGGGAAGAAGTCGGCCTCTTTGAGCGGCCACGACTGGTTGCTGCGGTGCTTGGCATCCAGGTAGCGCGAGGGCGTGGAGTAGAGGGCATTCACACGGCCGTCCTGTTTAGAGTAGGGGTAACAGTGATGCACATGCACGGGTGGGAGGTGAAGATGGAAGAGAGTACTGTGGCATGCTGCACCTCACCACAACTTGCCACAGCGCGCCATGACTCGCCACATTAATCATACCATGCCATACCATGCCTTACCATGTTGACATAGTGAACAAGCTTTTCCATGTTCTTGAACCACAGGGCAGCGCTGGTATTGGTCTCACGCCACACCACCCCACACCAAACCCCACCACACCAAACCCCACCACACCACACACCACCACACCCTACCACCCCACATCTCAAGCCATACCAGGTAGAAGTAGTGAACGAGTTTATCCATGTTCTTGAACCACAGGGAAGCATTGGCATGTCATATATATCATGCTGCTGCACCATGCCATACCAGCTGGACTATGTTGGAATCTGCATCGTATGGATTGTCCTGTCAAGTGAGGGGAAAGAGGTGGGTACTGGGGCACAGGTGGACCCGTGGGTGGGTGGGTGGGTGGGAGGGTAGAACCACTCTGGATCGGTTTCCAGTTCACCAGGGTTTCCCCCACCAGCTGCACTACATTGACATCACCCTCCCTCGTATGGGTCGTCCTGGGGGGAAGAGATATTTGGGAAGGGGAGGCGTAGTAGGTGGGTTAGTGGGTGAGTAAGGGGGATGGGATGAGCTACTGGCTCGTGGGAGGGGGGGTTGGGTACAGTATGTGGTACAAATGGCACGTTTGCATGGGCATGGGCATGAGAGAGTCACTTGTTCGTGGATGCTTCCACTTCACCAGCTCTAATCTTGAGGCGACTCACAAATAGCTTTGAGCCTTGTTTACGAATACTGCAATTATTCTATAAAAAAAACTCGGAAATGCGCCAGGTTCGACGTGCCATATGGGATACAGTATGTGTGCGTCTCATATGGGGTTGTCGTGCATGTGGGCTGCGTTAGAGGGTAAAGGGGTGAGGGTGACTACACCCACATGTTTCAAGACGCTTGGAAGTTGGAACACTATCCAGCCACACGCAATAGCACCCATGTGACTACACCCACGCAATAGCACCCATGTGACTACACCCACGCAATAGCACCCATGTGACTACACCCACGCAATAGCACCCATGTGACTACACCCACGCAATAGCACCCATGTGACTACACCCACGCAATAGCACCCATGTGACTACACCCACGCAATAGCACCCATGTGACTACACCCACGCAATAGCACCCATGTGACTACACCCACGCAATAGCACCCATGTGACTACACCCACGCAATAGCACCCATGTGACTACACCCACGCAATAGCACCCATGTGACTACACCCACGCAATAGCACCCATGTGACTACACCCACGCAATAGCACCCATGTGACTACACCCACGCAATAGCACCCATGTGACTACACCCACGCAATAGCACCCATGTGACTACACCCACGCAATAGCACCCATGTGACTACACCCACGCAATAGCACCCATGTGACTACACCCACGCAATAGCACCCATGTGACTACACCCACGCAATAGCACCCATGTGACTACACCCACGCATTTAAGAAAGCTATCCAAGGCAGGGCTATTTAAGTGAGCGAGCCCACCTTGACAAGGTTGGTGAGTGGATCATATGGTTCGAAGCGGAATGGCTCCGGGGCGAAGTAGCCGTCCCAGTACAGAATGCCTGCAAACACCTGATCTTGCACAGGTGGGGGGTGGGGGGTTTGTGGGGGGAAGAGGGAGGAGAAAGAGAGTGTGGCAGGGTTGAGTGAAAGCAAGGAAAGGGTGGTGGGGTGAGGGGTAGGAAAGACGAATGGTATGGCGCATTGGGACAACTCCAACGCCCAATATGCAATGTTTTCCTCATTTGCACTGCACTGCACTGCACTGCACTGCACTGCACTGCACTGCATTGCACTGCACTGCACTTTTGACACGTCTCAAAAGTCATTTGCACTGCACTGCACTCTCCCAGCAGGAGGCCCTTTTTACCTGTAAAATAAAGAGGTCTCCATCTCGTCTCAGCCAGCCCAGCTAATCTCAACTCATCCCAGCCCATCTTGTCTCAGCCAGCCCAGCTTGAAACCCATCGCACTGAAAGCCCACAGTTTGAAATTGCAAGCTTTCGACACTCTTCAGAGAATGGACATGAGTTACCACACATGTAACACATAACACTTACTCACTCACGCACTCACTCACTCACGCACTCACTCTCACTCACGCACTCACTCTCATTCACTCACTCACTCACCCACTAAATCACGCACTCATCTCACTCACCCTCTCACTCACACACTCTCACCTCAGCCTGCCGGCCAAACGTCTGGGAGGCACGCCACACGAACTCGGTGCTCCTCTCCCTCTTGCACTGCACTGTATCCTCTTACTCCGCCTCCCGTTCGAATTATGTGTCGATTCAATCAAATGACACCTGCAGAAACTGAGTCACATGTAACACTTAACACTCACTCATGATCTCACTCTCACCTCAGCCTGCCGGCCAAACGTCTGGGAAGCGCGCCACACAAACTCCGTGCTCCGCTCCCTCTTGCGCCGCGCTATGTCCTCATGGTCTGCCCGCGCAAAGAACACCGCATCCAGCCCGCCCTGCTCTGGCAGAAAGAGGGGCCATCACAATAGGGTTTACATGACACAACCACAAGGCAGGGGGGCATGATAGGTTGAAAATAGTTGAACATAGTCCGCCCGTGTGAAGAACCCGTCCAGCCCACCCTGCACTGGCAGAAAGAGGGGAGGGGCCATCACAGTAGGGTTTACGTGACACAACCACAAGGCAGGGGGTCATGATAAATTGAAAATAGTTGAACATAGTCCGCCCGTGTGAAGAACATGTGCAGCCCGCCCAGCACTGGCAGAAAGCTTGTCCATCACAGTGGACTGTACACGACAAAAGGCAGGGCGGCATGCTGGGTTGTCGATAGTTGAACCATAGTCCGCACCGCACCGCACCGCACCGCACCGCACCGCACACACAAAGAACATCGCATCCAGCCCGGGCGAGGTGCATCCAGGCTGCAGTGCAGTGCAGTGGATGGGAGGGATGAGATCACACACCTTGAGGCGCTTCAACCCCACCTCTTAAGGAGCCTCAATAACACACCCGCCCTAATCAGGCAGGGAAGGCGTCATGCCTTGAGGCGCATCTATTTCACTGATGGTCCTCCTCTTTCTCTTGCTTTCATTGGCCAGCTTCTTGAGCCAACTCAAGAGCCACACACACATGCACGGCACGGCACCACCACACGCACCAGGCAGTGCCATGCCTTCCCTCCCTTCATCGCGGCGCACCTGGGCCGTGATGAGTCTGGCTTGGGTGGCGGAGTGGCCGAAGGCTGTCCATTTGCCAGGCGATGGAGGGGGAGGCGTTGAAGAGCCAGCACATGCGTTATGCAAGGTACCCGCCCCACACACACCATATCTGCATGCACATGGCCGCACCATGTCTGCATGCACATGGCCGCACCTGAGCGGTGATGAGGCTGGCTTGCGTGGCGGAGTGGCCGAAGGGGTCGATCTGCCAGGCGATGGAGGGGGAGGTGTTGAAGTGGCGGCGCAGGAAGCGGTGGCCCAGCGACATGTGGTGCAGCACGTCCCTGTAGTGGCACACCGCCTCATCGTGCATCACCCACCCGCCGTTGCTGTGAGCAGGGGGTAGCAAGCAGGGGCACAGGTAGGAAATGGGGTGGTAGGCAGGCCCAGCGACATGTGGTGCAGCACATCCCTGTAGTGGCACACCGCCTCATCGTGCATCACCCACCCGCCGTTGCTGCACGCACGCACGGAGAGGGAGGCATGGGGAGGGCATGTGATGGTAACCACAGCGACATGTAGTGCAGCACTTCCCTGTAGTGGCATGATGCACCGTTGCTGCACGCAAGGAGGCCGCAAACAGGGAGCAGCAGCCAGGGGACAGGGAAGGCAAAGAAGGAAACAATAGGAGAGCAGGATAGCATCATAGCAGTTCCTTTGAAAGGAAAGAGCTGACTGACTCACATGAACTCGAGCTGCCCCGAGTGCACGAGAGCACGCACGCGCTGCCTTTTGAGTTGACTCAAAAGGCACCTCGTTACAATGGCACAAAGGACAGAGCTGATTGACTCACATGAACTCCAGTTGCCCCGAGTGCACGAGAGCACGCACGCGCCGCCGCATGCCCTCCGACTGCTGCTGCCACCAGCGGTAGAAGAAACCCTGCCGCCCGCCCGCCGTGATTGGTGGACAGACACAGAGGAGGAGCGTGCAGCATTGTGGATGGTGATGTGCCGGGATTGCACGTTCATGTGGGTTGTCAGACGCATTGGCATACGGCACATCCCAGCAGCACATCGTCCCATGTGATGTTCATGGGGCAAGGTTTGTGGGTGTGCTACTACTAGTACTACTTACACAGCAGAATAAGAATGAACGTGACGTACAAAGGAGAGAGCTCTCAAAGTCGGTTTCTGAGTCACGGGTTCTGGTCTGTGCTGCACGTGCTGCCACAACTGCAAGTGCGTAACTGGAAGCGAGCTGCGAAAGAAAGAAGCATGCCTGTGCACATACGACGACTCCCTCATGGCTGCTCTGCTCTCGTATGCCTCCTTCACAATCACTCTGTCAGATGAAGAGGACCGGCTGCTACAGCCGTATTCTGCCACGTCACCTGCTCCACTTGGATGAATCGACGGTCAGGATTGGCCTCCAGCTGGTCGACCACCGTCTCTAGGATGAACTGGACGGCCGTGATCTGATGCCAGGGATGGGGGAAGGGAAGGTGGGATGGGAAGAGTGGGGGGAGGAGGGAGAAAAGGGGCGATGATAATGTAATGTTCTTCTGATGGCTGAGGGAGTGATTAAGGCAGTAACTGCGGTACATTCGGACGAGTTGAGGGGGTTTGAGAGAAATGCGGTAATCTTCAAGGGCGAGGGTGGGGGCCGCGAGAGGGAGGTGGGGGAAGGAGGGAGAACAAGAGGCGGAGATGGAAGTGAAAGGGGATTTCCCCCCTCGCCGTGCGATGTGAGGGAAGAGGGGGGAGCCAGAAGGCGGTGCAGAAGGGAGAGACTGTACTGGTGCTGAGTGGTGCCAGCCTGAAGCTATGGTGAGTGTCATCAATGGTGAGTCCTGGCGCTACTATTCTCACATAGTACTGTTCAACCGTGTTGAGCCATCCCAGGTCGTCGTGCGAGTGCGGCACCAGATGCACGTTCACTTTCCCCGCCACAATCCCCGAGCTCGTATTGTACGCGCTGCTGCTCCCTCCGGTTCGCACGCCGTCATTCGCGGCGCCTGATGCGGAGGATGAGCCGTACGTCTTACTACTGCTGTCAGCATCTTCTCTGGCAGAATTTTCGCCGTTGTTTATAAAGGAGAATGAGGGATAGCGACGGTATGTCGGCTGCGGGTGATCATTCTGCCAGTCGCTGGCGGTTGTGCCGGCTAGACGGGAGGAAAGCGATTGCTGGAGCAGAATCATGCAAGCTCCGACAGCAATGCCGACCACGAATGGCGGCACGAGCCTGAAGCGAGATGATTCCGCTAGCGAGACACGTGGCTGCGGCATGCTTTGCCGAATCTGCGCCTATTGGTCATTGGCATGGGTAGCTTCTCTACGGGGTTGTATATCATTGTTTGTCAAGCTAAGAGCGTGTTACGTACCCCTCTTTTTCATGACAGGTCGGGTCGTCTCGCACGGTCGGTTTGGGTTGAACGTCAGGTTACCGAACTATCTGTACATGTACAGTGTACCGTAATCGTTTTCGCAAGATGTTCGATTCAAGGGATCACAACGTTTCAAAGTTGTTCCGCCAGAGTTACGGATGTCAGATGCTAGCCAATCTTCGTGCAATGCAAAAGAATTGCAAACCGAGTTTTGAAAATTGGTGGCCCAGACGACTAGCGAACCCCATAAAACATCAACCAAAGCGAACCACTATGCAATGTGTTACAAAAACACCTGGTTTGACACATGAAGCGAACCAGTACGTGTTTCATGACACCAGATCGGGCCGTTCTGACCCTCGGGCAAACGCAAGACTGGAACGCGCATGCAGTTCGTTTGGAGACTTCTCTTCGATGGCTCTGAAATGTGTTAGAAGGCATTCGTAGGCAATCCATAGCTATTGCTTGCATCAAGTTTCGTAGCCATCCACATTTCTTTCACCATGATTCGAGTCCGTTTCCGAAGCTCTTTTATTCCTATACTTCTCGTCATTGTCTGCAGTGCGGTTATGATGCTTCTGGAGTCCTCCCTTATTATTCCGGAGGTCCGTATTCGTCAAAGTGCGAGGTATTACTCGCAGTACGCATCTTACCTTCTACAAAACACCATTCCCCGTGTGTTTTTTCCGGAAACGAATATGGGGAATTCTGGAGAGGAAGACTTTCAAACTGGTAATTCAAAAGTTAGTGGCTTTAGCAGGATCAACGGACGCTCTCAACTTGGTGTTTCGTGCAGGTGAACTTGAACCTCCACTCTCGTCAAACATCACAAGCAAAGGCAGGAGATTGCAAGGAACGCTGACGCGGAACTTGCACTCCACGCGGAATGTGAGCCTCGAGGACGACGAGGCTGAAATTCGGGAGATGCTTGAAGCTCTCCGTGCAAAGGCTGCAGAGCTCAAATCCGCTGCAGATGTGCGTCGACAGAACGCCTCGCCGATCAATACTTGAGCCAATAGTCTGTTGTTTGAACGAAATTGTGAAGAGAAAACGCAGGTGCAGAAGTATGACCAAGCAGTTTGTGTACATGGCAGGCAACTCCATAAGCTAGAGGGTTTTCAACTCGTACGTCTCTTGCCCGTTCTTTGAGGTCTGTTTTTTCACAGCGCAATACGGTGAAGCTCAAACCTCTTTACACCATGTCAAACCGCCTTGAGTCAAGTTAACCCCCCTTAGGGCATCATGTTGAGCAACCTAAAGGAGCTTGCCATTGGAGTGGAGATGTGTGAGCAAGGATATTATTTTCATAGCTTCTTCCCCAAATCTGAGATGAAATGGGGAGGTGGTTAGGTTGAGAAGAGAATTTGCAAACACACAGCTTTTCGTGCTGAATGGTGTGTGAGAAATAGTAGGTTTGGAGTACGGAGTATGCCAATGGTGTATGTGATTAGAAGGTTGAGTTGAGGCAATTACCAGGTATTACATTTGTTTCATATACTTTTGTCGCTATGTACAAAGGTATTTTAATTTCGTGTAACATTCGTGTTACCTCCAACTTGACTTCGCGCCGACCGTTGCGACACTGTCTTGTCTTGAAAGCAGCCACACCAACTAACCACCCCACCCCTCCCTCCCTCCCTCCACCCAGCCCAGCATTCCGTACTTCCCGCTGCCCTGTCCTGTCCTGTCCTTCCCAGCCTGCCGTTCCTTCTTGACGCTCTCGTGCTTTCTCATCGCCATGTCTTCCGCTACCACCTCTATCTTATTTCGTAAACCAGTTTGCAGGTGATCCAGTTTATAAATTATTCTCAGCTTCGTTTAGATTCCACTTTCTCCATGTCGTCGACAGCTAGCTCGTTGTTACGTGGCGGCAGCAGCAGTAGCAGCGGCCAGCAAGCATCTGAGGGAAGTCCCGTGCGATTAGACCAGGATGAGACGCGGCCGTCGCTCGCTTCGTCTATATCAGCAGCATCTCCCGGCGGAGAGATTTACAGACGCCACACGCCGCTGAGCCCGAATGGCAACAAACCAACCCCATTTTCTCTCGCACAATCCATCCCTGACTCTTCTCCCGCTAAATTAACATCTTTAAATCCGATCCCTCCATCTGATCGAATCAATGCTTCTCCTTCGCCGTTCACGTCGCGCGCGGCGAGACACGGCAGTCTGGGGAATCAGCCTGACATGTCCGTGCGAGCGTTACTCGCGCGGCACCAGTACCTGCTGCGAACAATGGCGATACTCGTCGTGCTGTGCGCGGTGTACCTGTATTTCGCCATCTCCATGGACCAAGAGGGCCTCAGCTGCCAGGGCCTCAGGGGAGAGGCGCTCGCGGAGTGCAGGGAGCAGCTCAAGGCGAAGCGACTCGCGAACAGGAAGGGCCGGGGAGGTGACAACGCCGGAGTTAAGAGCGGTTCAGACAGTTCTGGTGGGGTTAGAGAAGGTAGAGAGGGTGTGGGTGGTGGAGAGGTTGGAGGCAGCGGAGAGGGCCAGATTGGGCATGTGAAGGCTATTCAGATGCGGCAGCAGGAGAGATATGCCAACGGTTATCAAGTAGTCGAAGCAGAGGAGCGAGGGGTTTCAAAAAGGCATGGAGACAAACGAGACGAGACAGAAGACGTTGGTAGAGAGGAGTTCAGAGAAAGCAGGTCCTAACGCTGCTGTGACGTAACATCACGGATTGCCATTGTGACAGGCTAATGTGTATAGCAATCGCATCACAGATAGCCATTGTGACAGACTTAAATATGTAAAGCATTTGTTGCTCAAGCGTTTCAGACCACTGTTCCTGAAGCCTAGTCTCTGCTCCTGCATTCTGAGTGTCAAGATAGTAGGCTAATTAGGAGCCATAGGGTTTGGGAAGTGAGAGGGAGTTGGCCAACAAAGAAGGGCTTCAATATGGAGAGAGGTACAATATATAGGAAAGGTGGCAAAAGGGGGCATACCACCAAAAGACTACACTACTCGCTATACATGCAATTATATAAGAATATTATATTCTGACACTGAGTCCTGTAATGGTCCCTGCTGAGTCCTGTAACGATCCCTGCTGAGTCCTGTGTTGAGATAATATCAAGACTTGTGCACTTCAAGGAATTCGTGTAGTGTAGTTAGTACAGTAAAAGTACCGATAGGCTGACGTCAGCAAAGCGCTACGCGCCCTAGGATGACGTCAGCAGTAGCTGTAGGTATCGCGAAAAGTTACGTACCGTTTCAAGATAAGAACAGCACAGTACAGTAGACGAACAGGTACTTTACTCTAACTATATATTCTGTATGTTTGTCATTTTATAATATACTTGACTTCAGAGACATTGATCCTGTTACAAGTCACTCACATAAGACTTCCACTGCTACAGGAAGCTACTATCCTAAGACTACGATCCTATTCAGACAGCTTAAATTCTAACATGGTATGAGAGAAACTTAGGATTATCACAGCTTCCACCTGCCTACTCTACAACTATGTCTGGATCTCCAAGGTCCAACAATGGCTCTTCTGTTACGAGCCCATCACGCCCAACAGCGTCTCCAGCTGCTGATAATTCACATCTGCAGCAACAACAACAACAACAATATCAGCAACTACCGATGTACGGCATGCCATTGAGCAATCAGCCCGTACACGCAGCAGCGGCATCATCGACACTAGCCGCAGCAACAGCAGCAACAGCAGCCACAACAGCTGCAGCTGCAGTCACTGGTTCTTCTAGTCAACCGGGACAATAGTCCAACTTCGTACCGACTGGACCTTACCAATATCAAGGTGCTTACCAGCCAGCAAATCTTCAACAACGTGTTAATGCTGCCGTCTTGTCGCTTAACCAGATGTTTCCAACTCCTATGAGCATTGATGGCTCCAGTTATCAGCGTGGTCAGATGCCACAAGGAAGTGATGGGTCGAACAACTCCTTCTCTTTTGGTCCTGCTGGACAAGGACAACAAACACAACAAGGGTCACAAGTGCCATCACTTTATCAGCTACAATCAGCTGACGGGACCGGAAATTATATTCCTGCTTCTGCAAATCCAACGAAAATCAAAACAACAATGCCTTTTAACGGTCAAGACTTTTATACCTGGAGCTTTGAGTTTGAGCTTCTTGTTCAGACCGCGGGGTTCTGGCAGCTGTATGACGGCACATCACCTTTTCCGTCTCACGGGTCACCACTTCAACAAGCCACTTTTCGATCGACGTCGCTGACTGCATACACAGTTCTCGTTCGTAATCTGACACCAACTGAACAGCTCGGAATTCGTTCATTTCGTACCAGTGCCGCTCCTGCTGAAGCAGCTTGGTTGTACCTGCAAGGGGTTCACATGGCAAAGGACACTGTCAACCAGAGTAAAATTTTGGCGCAGCTGTCAAATATACAGATGATAAACGGCGAGTAGGTGACGCATTATATCAACCGCGCTCGAAATTTGCGTGATCAACTTCAAAAGTGTGGAGGGTACTTCCCCGACGCTATGTTTCACACGGTGCTACTCGCGGGTCTTGGACCAGAATGGCGACAGTGTCGCTCTATACTCCGGATGCAAGCACAGTTGTCCGAAGGGGCACTCTGTGCCGCTCTCATCTCCGAGCAGCAGGATATGGATCTGCACAACGCTCGAGGAGGGAAAAAGGTGGTAATAATACAGTCAGCTTTTATTCTAATCCACGTCGCAAGCCCGTTTGTTCTTTTTGTCGAAAAACAGGACACACTATTGATACCTGCTGGTCGAAAGACAAACCATCTTGGAAGCGGTCTGCATCGAAACATACCAAAGATTCTTCAAGTGAAGCTGAGAAGCCGGAAGCTGAGAAGCCGG